TAAGAGTATTCGCCATTCCTAAGGAAACGTATTTCAAAGTTCAAGCCTTACTTTAACGCTGCCACCGCCAGGAATGTGTTTAGCATTCTCTTTGGAGCCGACTTTTGGTTTTGCTTTATCCTTAAAATCAAGCTTCACTGTCTCTATCTTCTTGTCACCGCCGCCAGGCTTGTATGTTGCATTCTCCAATGATCCGACTTTTGGTTTCGCGTTCCATTGAAGTTTAATTTGAGCAATCTGTTAAGAAACAGAGAAACGATAATTTTTCACAATGAAATCAACTACACACAGGGATGGGTTAGTCGAAACCTCTCGAAACTCAAGAAGATTTCGATTTTCGAGAATTTGAAAACTTCATACTTCTTTCGTGACTCGAAACTGTCGAAACTCAGATAAGAGAAAGTACAAAAATCGATGAGTGAAGAATCATTTGCAGCGTGAGTAAAGAATGTTTGATTCGTGTGTATTACTAAGTATTTGAGTATATTTCGCGAATATATTTTATTTTTAATCATATAAACAGATGTGCGATCGATCGAATTTTTTATCTCGTAAAAATCGATCTTGAATGATCTAAAGAAATTATTAAAAAAAAAAAGATATGAAGGATCTTTTCTGATAAAAAAAAAAGATAATATATGAGATTCAGAAGGAGTTTGGATGCTAGTATTTTTGAACAAGAATTTATATTTACGTTATGTTTTTTGATTGTATTTTGTTCAACTGCGGCTAATAAAAATTTATATAGAAGCGTTAACAAAAGAACATTAGCAATTCAAGTTCTAAAAGTTTCGAAATCTTTTGAAGTTTTGGATTCGAGTTTCGAGAATTTACAAAATTAGTTTCGAATACTCATCTCTAGAAAACATATGAAAAGAACGAATTTAATTGAAATAGATAGAGGAAAGAATACATCGGTTATTTATTATAATGCGCGAAATTTCTTTGTATTTAATTACTCGTAATTATCGCGTTAAAAAGGATTTTCTCGAGAAAATTTTAACCTTCTTGTCACCACCGCTGGGTGTGTATTTCTCATTTTTCGCGGCGATCTTCGGCTGAGCCTTGCTAAAGTCCAGCTTCCTGTTCTCTATTTTCACCTTTCCGCCACCTGGTTTGTAACTTGCATTCTCTAGCGAGCCGATCTTCGACCGTACTGTTTTCAGATTTGGAGAGGGCGCCGCACCAACTTGAATTTTGTTCATTGGCAGTTCTACGTAATTTGATACATGTTATTAACATGCGCATTAACGAGCGAGAAATGGCGCGATTTCTTTCCACAGACATTCGAAATGAAAACACTGGAGTAGAAAGCTAATCGAGTTCGTTATAAAATTTAGGCAAAAATTTCGATAATACTTACTTTTCTTCTCTTGACCGGCTGTCGACGAAGGAGTTTCTGGTGTTCGTGGTAACGATTTGACGGACTTACTTGGCGATTTTATAGGTGACCCGGCTGTCGACCTTTTGTCAGCTTCCTTCGATTTCGAGGGTGACTTTTTCGTTGGTGAATCTCCGACTCCGTTCGTGGTTGGTTCCTGTCCAAAATCACCACGTTACTTTATTATACGGCACGATAATTCGTGAAGCGTACGCAAGCGTATGTGTGTAAGTAAAGATATTTACCGCGTTGGATTGAACCGATTCGTTCGTTACGCTGCCATTTTCAACCTCTGTAAAAAAACGAAAGAAGCAGTGACATGATTCTTGTGCTATACATTGGAACATGTAAATAAATACAGCAAACCGTGATATTCGTCAAGCAAAATCTCAGTAAAAAATATCTCGATCTCGGTAATTTTTTTTTTTTTTTTTTTTTTCTTTAACGATGAACATCATAAAAAAAAAAGATCGAACTCTAGCGCTTCGCTTTTTCAAATCTATCGTTTCGATATCACACGGTACCGTTGAACTTTCCAATAAATTCATTCTCATTATTTCCACCCGAATTGTTTTTAGACGTAAATAAAAACCTGGTGTCTTTGAAGACTTCTTTTCTGATTTTTCGTTCCGTTTGGCGGGCGTCGGTGCGCGTTGAACATTAGACGATTTAGCTGGTTTCGGCAAGCTTTTCGAGTCCAATGTCGTTTTATCGTCGGCCTTTCTCTGTTCGGTTTTTTCGCTCTCTTCTAATTTCCCGCTCTCGACAGGCGATCTCAGCGATTTCGGAGAAACGGGCGAGTGAAGACTTTCGGACGGCGAGGATTTTATCGACAGTGATCGTTGTTCTCCATTGTCGAAACCTTTCACACTTTCCTCGGCAGTTTTCGGTGGGGACAGTACCGGCGGAGATTTTTGCGTCTCACTCGCTTCCCTTTCAGAAGCGGGTGGACTCAAAGTAACGCTTGCCACGTTCGTTTCCGATGTATCTCGAAGATTATTAGATTTCAAATCTTTCGAGACATCCTCTGCATTTGATTTTTCAGTTACATTCGCCGATTTATTCGGGGACTTCGAAGATGGATCGTTCAATTCCTTCTCCCTCGGAGAGAGACTGAGATCCGATGATCTTTCTTTCTCGCTTGATTTTTCAAGTTCCAACGTTTCAACGGGTCCCGGCTCGTTCTTCTTCTGATCTATTTCCATCGGTGTACTCGGTTTCTTTGGTTCTTGCGTGTTTTCGGCTTGCCTCGTTTCCTTTAACAAATCTACGTCTAACTTAGTTTCTGATACAGACACGAAGTCGTCCTTCTCCCGAGTTTGTTCCACCTTCTTCTGAGTCTGATTCACTTTCGCCGGTGAATTGCTTTGAGACACGGAGAGCGGTGTCTTGAGTTCTCGATCGCTTTGTTCTTTCTTTGCATTTGCCGGGCTGATTCCTCGGAACTGTTCCGGGGATTTGGACGTTCCCTCTTGTTCGAGTTCTTTTTGACTTTGATCCGCCTGGGCGCGAGATTTGTCTGGAAACGTGGATGACTTCAGGTCCGTTCCCGGAGACTTATCTGGGGATTTAGCCGACGCTTGCACCTTTTGATCGGCTTCATTTGATTTTGCGATCAAAGCCGCACGTGTTCCTTCCTCGGACGTCGACGTTACCTTCAAATCCTCCTCGTTTCGCCCTGACCGCGTTTCTTCTGATTTTTTGGTAGATTGTTCGGCGTTACTGTTATTCAATTTCGTAACTATATCTTCCGCAACAGACGTGGTAGACGAGGCATTCGTTTCAGTCTGTGTTGTCGGTTTCGTCACACTTTCTTTATTCGCATTCTCTTTCTGAGCTTGGTCTTCGACCAACTTTCTTTCTGGCTCGTCTAGTTGATCGCCAATCTTATCTACGTCCCGCTTGTCTAACAAGCTTCCGCGCTCCTCTTCATTCGATTTCGCGAACAGTCTGTTATCACACTCCGTCACGTTGGAATCTTTGACAGGCTTCTCGTCGAGGTTCGCAACACTGCTAATTTTCTGCCCGATTTTCTCCGCGATCGTGCCAACTTTATTATCCATTTTCGCGGCATTCTCCGGCCTTCTCGCCGACTGGACATCGCTCATCGACAACTTAGACTCTTCTATCAAGTCCTCTTGGCCAGTAACGTCTCCGTTGGCGCGTGGCGACTTTCCGTCCATCACGACGTCGTCGTCGTCGTCGTTCTCCGCGCTCTCTCGCAGCTCCGTTTTCTCCTTTTTCTCCGACGCTGGATTTTCCAACTGCCGGAGCTTCCTCGAGTTGTCGATGTCCGCCATTTTGTCCACTACTATCCGCGGAGCTGACGGTGCCTTGTCTTCCCTCTTGATCGGTAAACTCTGCTGAGGTATACTCAACAATGACTCATCTCGCTGCAATCGTTTCTGTACGATTTCGTGCGGCCGCGCGAGAACGTCGGGATTTCGTCCTTGCTGTGGGACGTTCGGGTGCTCCGGTCTCGATTGATAAGGTCCGTTCGGATACTCTGGCCTTGGCTGTTGAGGCCGTTGCACGTTGCCTTGGAACTTCTGCGCTGGGTAATTGCCAGGATGAGGCGGTCTAGGTCCCAGTTGCGAACGTTGCACGGTCGGCGGTGGAAATCGTGGATTCAGAACGATGGGTGGATGTTGACCTTGCTGCGGCGATTTCTGAGGGAACGAACCGGCCGGCGGTCTCGGAGGCCCGTACAGTCTGACTTGGCCGAAATGAAGAGGATTCGTTTGGCCGACTGGAGGCCGGCTGTCGAAACGAATTTGCTGCAGTTGCTGTCCACTTGGTCGCGGTTGCGCTACGGGACCATTATTTACAGGGTGCCTTGGTAATCCAGGTGGACCTTGCGGTCTCGCCCGATAGACAGACGGTAATGGCGGATTTGATTTCACCTACGAAATAATAATTTTACTCGCGACAATCCACGATCGGCACGGGTCACGATAATGAATTTCCGGGGCGAGAGTCAAACGACAATCGATGGAGATGTATAGAAGATTTTTGAATGGACAGACGTGGTATTTCATTTTGCACACTGAGATATTTTAACCCGTTTATTGCCAGTCGGACCTTGCGCGACAGTCGCCATATTTCTTTGGTTTTGTTGTTCATAAAATGTCAATCGACTCTGACCAGTTTTGGCAGTAAAAGGATTAAATGTATCTGATTATTAATCCCTATCTTTATAGCGATATTCATCGAGTAATTATTCTCTTAATAATTTAAAACTATTTTCTTTCGTGTTTTTAACAATATTTCCTATTTTTAATTTTTTGGTTTCTAGTAATTCTAGAATAATCAGTTCGAGCTATTCGGAAAGAATATGAATGGAAAGTGGATGGGAAATCTGGATAATCGATATTGGCCCTGAGCCCATCGATCAGTCTATAATACAAAATGGAGACGTTTCGAAGATTCGTATTTACCGTACCTGCCACCGTTCGACTTTCCCTAACAGTTATGGGATTAAACCACGAATGATTATAGCATACCATCGACATCCATCGCGATCTACCGAGACACTTTAGGTTGGCGTGACTTATGGCAGTAGCTTCCTTTCAGAACACCAGACTGTTTACCATCGTTTCTATATTCATCGACAAGAATTGTTCGTACGAGCGTGTTGTAAGCACAAAACTTTCAATATGGTGCAAAGTAAAACAATTTTTTTTTTCTTTGTTTTTATTCCTATAATGTGACTGAATATTCCTGTAAAACTGTGAAACATTCACTTGATAGTTAATGTTATCAGTAGTCTCACTCGCTCGTGAGAATGTTCGAACTGAATTTCCAATGTTTGAAAAATTGTAAATGATATTTAACTCTGGAACTATCGACGATTAAAGTATAGAATTTCTACCAGAGATATTTAAGTAAAAAGAAAGTAGAGAAACTTTATAATGCAATGAAATTGCACAAACCTTTATTTATGGATTTTACGAAAAATCGTTTAAATCTTTGAAAATACACTGTTTTATATCTATATAATATCTAACAAAAATTATAAATTGGCCATTTTAACCATTTTAGATCTGGATTTAAACTGTTATAATTTCGTTATAAAACAAAATTGCATAATGATGAACCTGGGCTCATTTTTAAGCTGAAAGCCTCTACTTCCAAAGTACATCGTCATTTTATTTTAAGATACATTATATTTTTACAGTACGTAACTAATGGGAAAGTGAAGATACCTTTCTTCTCGAAAATGCTACGAATTGTCAAAATTAAATATGTAAAACTAAATTTCATTTGAGATAAAGATAAAAGATAACAATTTGAAACAATGATTGTTCCACGATTTCGTTTTTACGAAATTATAAGTTTACAATATCAACTTTTCGAACATTGAAATTTAGTATCCAAACATTAACGATTGTATTTCTTTACAGTCCCAGTATTATTTTTAGTTGTTCATTCTAGATCTTTATAATTATTTTTCGACCAAAATTCGGCCATAAGTCTATGCATCTTACTTTGAAATAATACCTAATACTCAAAGACTACTTCAAAATGGATAAAATGTAGTTTTCAAATACACGTCAATTAATTGATCGTTGTACAATTAAACACTGCTGCAATGAATAAAACTTTTTTAAAAATATCAAAAGAAAAAGTTCCTACGCTATAATCAACATTTCAATTGCGAGAAACGTCTTTGAAAATTTTTTCGAGATTAGCATTTTTTATGAAAAGTACTAATGAAAGAGTACGTGAAGGTTTTTTTTTTGCAAAACGGTAGCTTACCGCACTTAGTTCGCGGTCCGAAGAAGATTCGGCCGCGTTTCTTGCAGTTTCTTGCGAGTCCATTTTCACTTCGTTAACACGCGATTAACGTTTACACACGTGGATCGACTGGACGATCTCGTCACCTCTGACAAGATATTTCTCCATAAACCTGTTGCGTATCAACGGCAAGTCATTGCATCAAAGAGATTCATACAATTCTACTGTGTGTGTGTGTGTGTGTGTGTGTGTGTG